AGTCAACAGGAAGCTACAACCACTCAATTCAGTCATGTCAACAAAGGCCCAGGTTCTTAATGAATGAAGGTAAGAGTGACTCCTCTAGATAAATAACCAAAACCTGCTGAGGTTCTTTCCGGAGGTGGAGGAAAAACAGAATGCGTAATAGAGGAAGGTAGGTATAACCACTAGTTGAAGCCACATGACCATTTGCAAGAATGCTGATTGTAATTGATGATTGTGCCCACTCATCAATTTGTTAAGAATGTGTTTGTGCATGTATATGTATATTAGGTAGATATTTGTATTTCTTTATCATGTACTTTGATTTAGAAAATAATCAGTGATTATCATCACTCTGAGCTGAGACACTAAAAAACCAAGCATTCCTCAGAGGACATTATATAATCATAAATTATTTAATTCATTTGTGGTTGTATATGGGATAATTGTGTCATGTTAATTAATTGTTTGCATTTAGAAATTAGTCGTGATATAAAGAGATGGGACTGTGTGTCAAATTGACAAAGAGTTGACTTGTGATGGCTAATCTAGATTGCAACTTTACAACATTTGGTACCAATTAAAACCCAAGCAGCTGAGCATGCCTGAGGTGGATTTTCTTGATTGGATCATTTGCGGATCCACACTAAACCAGGGCTACACCTTCTGGTAGTAACCCACATAGAAGGACTAGGAAGAAGAAAGCTGTTGATTTTTGCCTGCTTACCCTCTTTTTCATTGGCAAGTTCATCTATCTTGTGGCTTAGGCACTCCTTCCATGGTACCAGAATTTATTTCTTTGGTATTCCAGTGTCGACTGGAGACTAGCTAAGACATACAGCTGGATGCACTGAACAATTCTTGGATTCTTAGCCATTCTATTGAGAGACAGACTTTAAGAAGCTATCCAGACCACATTCCATAATCCATTTATTCTCCATTTATGTATTATCATTTTATCAGGTCTGCTCTTTTGGAGAACCTGGCTAATACTAACAATTCATTAGAACATACAGAAGTAGAATACTCCGCCACTATAATGTAAGTGAGCATAGTTACATGCTATACTCCATTTAAAGAATGAATGTACACAGCAATATTTGAAATTGTGCAAAAGAAGCATTAGTTTTTTATGACCATAATACCATATGTGTCTATGAACTAGATCCATATTTGATCTTGTGCACTAGTACTAGTAGTAAGTGGCTAATATCACACTTGATAGATTAGATGCAGTTAATTATTTAGAGATAGGTTTAGTTCATACTCTTTGATTTACCATCTTGTAAAAATCAATGGAAGCAGGTGATAGCCTTAACATACCAAATATGTAGAGAAGTATAAAAGACAATTCACCTCATGCAAGGATGTTTAGTAGCTCTTGCTCTATGTTTTTAAGTCTCTCGGAATATGTAAAGAGTGGATGTCAAAGTAGGGTGTTGACCTAGCAGTATTAGTATCACTTTGGAACTCACTAAAAATGAAAATGTTGAGACAGAACCATTGACCCGAGAGATGCATAACTATGGGGGATGATGCTGAGCAATGTTCATTATAACAAGCCACTCTGCATAGTGTCTTGTATGTTGAATTTGATGATCAGTAAGCTATAAAAAAGGTGCACAGATGGTGGCCCTAGTGTTCTCACCAATGGTTTAATCTAATTTCTTTTCAAAATTACTTCTCCATTTCAATAGGGAATGTTACATTTTCTGCCTATCTGTTACAGGTAGGAATGCCTAGTTTCTAAAGTGAAAGGGATTGTGAATATCTTGACCCTTATCAAAATTATATTTATTATGGAGTCACTTCTTGCCCTTCCTTACCACACTTTGGTGTTATCAACTGCAGAGCGGCCTTTTAAAAATATTCGGTGTAAGATAATGTGAATGTGATATTTAGAATTAGAATTTGTATCTGATATATGGGAATCAGGCAAATAAATACTCTCGAAAATGGCAAGATCATTTTCAACTTCTACTTGCCAGCTATTGATTGGCATGAAAACTAAAATCAAGGTTTAATAAGGCAGCAATTGTCACATAGACACACATAGCATCTGTCTCTAAAATTGTGAAAGTTAAGGGACATTTTAATTCATATGTAAGATTCCAGACAGAGAAAGTTCTGAGCACTGAAATATGGATAATATAATGTGACTATTGCAATGTTAGACTTGTTTGAGGATAGACTTGGGTGCCTCTAGATTTCCTGTGATTGTGTGCATTGAAGCCTAGATAACAGTCACATGTTCCTGTAATCATGACTCCAAGAAGGCAGAAATAGGACGATTGTGAGTATAAAACCAGCCTGGGCTACACAGCGAAATCCTACCTTCAAATAAAAAAAAAAAATAAAACATGCACATACAATATTTCAGTGGGTATTCTATACCTTTACAATATCAACATAAAAAAGAAAACCACAGCTCTTATCTAAAATGAATATGACAGTTTATTTTTTGAATGGTCATGATTTGGAAACTCATCTATAGGTTACTAAAAATTCAATCATACAACATGGAATCAATTTCATACATTTTTATAGTTTCATAGAACAATGAAATTCACAGATCAAGGAAAGTTTAAATTAATACATTGGTGGGTACAGCAGAGAGACTGTTACCTCTAGATGAGGTGAGCCTTGCTGTGTGCCCAAGATGCTAATGGCATTCTTAGCTTCTAGGTTTGGGACCAGATAGTCTCCTAAGTTAATTGATACCAAAATAGTTTTATCTACTATTCACAGGATACTAGTTCTGACAGAGTAGTAAGATAAGGAATGGCTATTATGAATAGTTAAAGCTACCCTATGATAAGGTAATTAGCCTACAGACCAGCATTCCAGCATCTCCATAGTACTCCAGTTCAGCTGGACTCAGGTGACAGATTCTTTTCTGGAATTTTCGTTCACACCAACAAAAAGTATTGTGTGGGCACTTTCAGGAGTGTGGACAGTAAAGGTACACTCTAGCCTTAAAGTTTCCAGATCTACAAGGTGAAAGGATCCACAAGTTTGAGAAACATTGTTCCAGTTAGCATATAATAAATTTAATATGTTCGTGCTTAATATTTTATACTTAATCTTTGCATTGAGATTCAAAACTTGAATAGCAGTCTATGAGAGAAAGGGTTAAAATTCATGAAGTTCGTCTTATTTTACTGTTGAATTATCAACTACTTTAAGTTCTTCCCCATGAAAGAACTCTGCATGATGACCACACTTTAGCGAGTCAGTGATTAGGCAACATTCCTTAGTAAAATTTGGACTCCTTTAAGCGTAAATAAAGAATCCCTTTTGAGTTTCTTACCCGGCTTCCTGTGGACATTCGCTATAACTTCCACTGTATAATTGATGTTTAATTCATTTTTTCATTCCCTTAGTGCATCAGTAACTTCCTCTCAAACATTTCCTTAAATGTGTTGGAATTGTCTACTGATGCCTCCTTATTCCTGACCTACATGAATAAGCATATCACACACACACACACACACACACACACACACACCACGCGCACACACACACACGGGGTGGGGGGGAGATGGAGAGAGAAAGAGAGAGGAGGGAAAGAGGAGAAAGAGAGGGTATCATTTAACATGAGATCCTTATCACTAAAGCAATGAATGGGGGAGAAATGAAGAGATATTGCAAAGTGGCAGACACAGCCACACCCTAGACTGATTCAGGTTCCTACAAGCATGCCTATCCTTCCTCTGGTTCAAGGGAAGAAAGCCGCGGAAAGCAAGTACCTAAGGCCACAGAGCAGGAAGGTTCCCACTTCCCGAGAGCACATGCCAACACAAGCTTTCCTATCAAGATGATGTGTGGCAGAAGCTCAGGGCGGGCAAAGAGAACGTGGACCGACCCCCTTTACACGTTTGCCTGTCCTTGGCCCTTGACATCATTGAGAGAACTGAGACCAGCTAGATCCTCAGCAGCCCTGGAGAAGCTTTGAGGGAGACAAGTGTATCCACGAGCGCGTGTGCGTGAGGAGGAGAGCAAAGACGTGATTACTTCAGAATTTATTTAAGGGCCGGTGGAAACCACTGCAGCAGCTTCCAGGGGAAGCCCTTGTTCCGAGGAAGAGGAGGTGGAGGCTGCCAAGGAGGAGGAGGGGAGGAGACAGAAGGAGGAGTAGCAGCCTCTTGCATGAGGCAAGGATGCTATAGCATCCTCACACGTTCCCAGCAGGTTGGTTCTGTTGGTCAAATGATGCAAGCAGATGAGTTGCAGGGGTGGGGTGGGGGAGCTGGGAGAAGAAAATTGGTGCCGGGGTGGGGGCAGGTGATGGTCGGTGTGTGTGTGTGTGTGTGTGTGTGTGTGTGTGTGTGTGTGTGTGTTCTCCCCTTCCCAGAAAATAAACCTCTCAAGTGAAAGGATACACCCTAAGGCACAAGTAGGCTGGGTTGCCCAAAAGGAGACCTGTCCTGCTTCTAGCATCCCTGGGGACTCACTTCCTCTTAACCATCAAACTCCCAGCAATCCCCATAAACTCCACAGTGGCTCCGGGTGGGGTAAAGGGTGGAGAATTTTCCTTCTACATAGGTACTTGCCATACTTCACCCCCGCAGTTCGTGTTTGAAGGGAAGCTTGTTCGCCCGCTGGGTGGCCTGGGAGACCGCGGGAAGCCCTGGTACTAGGTTAAGTTTCTGAAAGTCAGTTCCAGTCCCGGATTACCAGCTCTCCGCCCCGGGGCTCCTGCTGCACGCTCAAACTGCTGCTGCTGCTGGGCGGCAAAGGGGCCGCGGCTGCTTTAAGAACCGCCTCCCCCTCTCTTCCCTTTGACAATGGTCTGAACCGAGCTCTGCTTCCCAAAGCAAAATTTGTAATATGCCATTTTTCGATGGACCCGTCTCCCTTTGGCTGCTGACGGAGCCACGGGAAGATGCCTAGTGGCTGCCACGCTACAGAGCCGGGGCACGTTCCAGGAGAACGCCGGGGCTCGCGGGTGTCTAAGCAGCCTTTCTCCTCCCGTTGCTAGGGAAATGGTCCAGGACTGCTGGGTGTGAGCCTCACCTCTCCTCCAGCCGAGACTGCGGTTGTCAGTGATCCATTGAAGAAACAGGACCTGAAATAAGAGACATTAGGTACAGACACCGTATTCGAGTTGCATGGTTTCTCTTCCGCTTCATTCCCCCCCCCCCTTTCTCTTTTTGACCACCTCCCCAGCCCCACCCCGCCCCCAGGGAAGAGGAGATGCAAAGTCCTTGTGGGTTACTGTTAGTTATCTTTGCTTTCCACCCATCTTCTCCATCTCCGATTTCTCTGCCTCCTACTTAGCCGGCTCTCTCCCGGGGCAGATGAACAGTTTTAGTGTGGAAATTATGAAGTCAACTTCTTTCGGGGTGGTGGGGGTGTGGCTGAACAGTAACTTGTCCAGCAGTGTGGGGTGAGCTCGCTTTGGCCATCTGAACAGGCGCTAGGGTGAAGAGAAGTGAAAGCGCTTCCATTGGAGCGGTAGGAATATTTCCTGAGGACGGGGGATTTCAAAGAGTTAAAGAGGAGGAGGAATATTCGTGTAATGTAATCAGACAATGGCTAGGCTTTCTCTTACTGAATTACTCCTTGCGGGTTAACAGAGATGGAGCTGGGAGGGTTCTGAAGACTAAACCTTTGCGAAGAAGAAACTTACTACAGAGAATGACTGCATCTTTCTTTGCCTGTGGTCGTGTATACATTCTAGCGACACAATTAAATGAAATGAAAGTCTTCTTGGACTATTCTTGTCTGAATAGGTAAAGCTCATAAGAACGTACATGACTGAGGAACATGCTAGATCTCAAGATCCTTCCTGAATGAGTCCACTGGGCGTTGAAAACTTTTATTTTGGAATCTGAGAGATTTAAAAGACAGTCAAGGTTATATGCTCATAGCACGGGAGTTGGTTTTCGTGGCATAAAAAATTATTCAGGCTAAATTTAAGCACTGAGATAATTAAACAAATCAGGGTTATTTATTCTCTCTCTTAAAGATAAAATTTGCATTGCCTGAAACTGGGTCCTGGAACCTTCAGTAGTTTCGTGAACAAGTGATCTATATATCTAGATGGGGCTAATAAAATTATATTTCACATTGACTTGAGAGAAGGCTAATGAAAAGACAAATACCTCTCTCAGTAAACTGTGTACTCTGCCTCGTTTCTCAGTGATGGTGTAGTATTTGCAGTATTAGTTCCAAAATTACTATAAAAGCAAAATGTGATCTATCAGGGTGCAATACACAAGATGCTGGGTGACCATATCTTTCTGCACCATATTCCCGATATTCATCCTACAAAATATTCTTCCTAGGTTTTTAATTACTCCCAGTACACTCAAGCTGTGCAGCTGTGCATTTAGGAACTGTCACACTATGTTGTGAGGGACATACAATTGTTTTAAAGCTTGTATCAGTATCTGAGGTTTAATGTTCAGTAACTGGCTGATGAAAGTAGCTTTGGTATTTGTAGACATATTTTTTTTTCTTTGGGGGAAAGAACTTTAGAGTTGCTTATTTAGATTGACTGGAAGGGCAGATAGCATGCATTCATCTTATTTTCTGGTAATTTTGCATACTTTGAATTTTATGAATTGAATTTGGAGAGTTCAGAAGTATATGCTAGAATCATAACTATGGGCCTAGTAGCAAGAGTTTTAAAATGCAATATCATTCTGTAAGGATAAGTAGTGACCTGTGTGTAATAGAGAATGTTGGGTTTTTATAATCCTAAAGACATTTCACTATGTCGGGACACATGAAATGGAAATTTCATAAATTTTATAAAAAATGTAATGTGTTTATTTCATAAAGAAATTGTTTATATTTTATGAACTGGTTATCATTTTAACTTTGGGGAAGGGAGCCTGAAGTTTTGAAAGGCAACCCAACTTTCCCCATTTCACATGCTCCAGGAGTGGGCTGGAACTGAGTTATTCAAAGTATGGAATGAATACCTTTTTCTAAGCTTGTCATCATAGCATCTTTTGGCTGAGCACATCCATGACACCTTTTCCACTGATCTGAAAATCTCCAGCTTGTGACTGTCCAGTGTCTCCTGGTAATACCAAGCCTTTGAACACATGCAGCATGCTTTATTTATGTGAAATAGATGCTTGGAGTATTAAAGACTGCTAACCCCTCCTTAGAATTTAAAGTTGGCAGTAATAGCTTTCCTCTTACATGGGTGTGATTTAAAATGCAGATTGAGGAACATTTAAATGACTAGATTTCATAGTACAATTGGTTCTGGTACTTTCTTTTAACCTCCGATGTCAAAAATTAACACATAGTTCATGGTCATGTCTCTTGGGGCATCACAGTAGTTGCATGTGTGAATGACACACAAGGCATGTGAATTAAGCCAATGTGTTGAAAAGTTTTTGTTTTGTTTTCAATTAGTGTAAAAAAATTATAGCAGTTAAAGGGGGGGTATTTTTAACGGTTGGGATAGTCCATGGATGAAAATCAAAATGGCAAACGTGTAAAGTGTACATTAAATAGGAAATGGTAATAGTAAAAGTGAATGCCTGTGTGGGTGTATTTGTAAAGGCATTCTAAAGATCTGCTCCACAACTTTCTCTCTTCAGATAGCTCAGTGTTTTCAATGATGGACACCTTTCAAAGTATTTTGAATTATTTTAGAAATTTCCAACTCTTTATTTCTTTACCTAGATTACTTGTCATAAAATGAGTCCCTTTCATTACCTTAGACTTTTCCTTAATATCCAATGGGTCATAACCAAATAGTTCACATGTAATTAAGTTTGCCCCTTAACAATCAGATTTACATGTCAAATCACATAGAAAGTAATTAAATATTGAACCTCTAAATCTTGACATTTTATTTCAAAATATCACCAGAAATATTTTCCCTAAGGATACATATGTGAACAGAAAAATTGATTGACCTTTCATTATAAAATCACGAGAAAGCTTTGGGACACACAACCAAACTGGGCTATCCTCACACCAGGCTCTCTGCAAAACCAAGGTCACTAATACCTTTATAACCATCACACAACAACTGAAATTGAGATGAGTTAGACATTTAAGCGCACACACACACACACGCGCACGCACACACACACACACACAGAGAGAGAGAGAGTGAAAGGGAAATTAAAATTAGTTTCTGATTTTTAAAGATGCCCCATGTGACAGAACAATGCTACACATCAATGACTGTGTCACCTACTTTAAATAAAATTAGTAAATAATCTTAAAAAGGATTCAGTCCATTTATTCCGACACTCAGAGTCTCTGATTAGCAGCTGAGATGTGAGGTGAGACTGTATTTGGTAATGTAATTTACTGCAATCTGTTTTATGGAATATTTGGGAAGAGTGTTAGTTTGTAATTGTCTGGATGGAAACCAGACAAGGCATCTACTAGGAAAGCTAAGTGTAATTAGCAGTATAATAACCAAGAGTTAATCATATATCTCAGATTAACTCTTAGAGTTTATGTCTAATTCAATCTGAATCATTCATCAAGTCTGTGCACAGTTCTGAAAGACAGGATATGAAAATAAATTTTAAAAGATCACATCAGAAGGGGTAGTAACAACAGAAATATGTTGAGGCTGTAAGAAAATAACAGTATGTTACCTAAAATAGTCAAGTTATTTTGGGGATTTTCTGACTGAAACAGTGAATATTAGGTCACTTACCTGCCTGTCACTCAAAAATTGTGTAGTTTCTACTCAATGGAATGCAAGGATTCGATTGACAAGTAAAGTACAGTTATGTTCATTATGAGAGATTATTTTAACAAGCATAGGTGGACAGGAATGGGATGTATGGTTATTCAAATGATGCATTTCTGCAAATCAAATTATAAGTGATAATTATATTGCATAATTAATTATGCAAAAGAAAATGGAAAAAAGGTTAAGTATTGTATATAAGACATGTATGGATTGCCATGACAGCTGACAGCATTTGGGTTGGACTGTGAAGGCTTTAGTGAGATGAACGTGGAGAGGGGAACATTATTGAAAATAATATATTTACTGAAAATTTCCCTTTGTGTTCTTCAAGCAATGATGTGTGAAGTGATGCCCACGATTAATGAGGACACCCCAATGAGCCAACGGGGGTCCCAAAGCAGTGGCTCCGACTCGGACTCCCACTTTGAGCAACTGATGGTCAATATGCTGGATGAAAGGGATCGTCTACTAGATACACTTCGAGAGACCCAGGAAAGCCTCTCCCTTGCCCAGCAAAGACTCCAGGATGTCATCTATGACAGAGACTCACTCCAGAGACAGCTCAATTCAGGCCTACCTCAGGTATGCTTCAGCGGTACAGGTTATCTTGTCAAAATGAAAGAAATAGAACAAGCTCTTTCTAATATTTACATCATGGTCGTTACTATAACTACTTTCCTACTGAATATATAATATGTGTCCAGGATTAAATTGCATAATAAATCACTTGTGTCTATCAAGATTTGCCTTACACAAAGTTACAGTGTACTGGTGTGTACGTGTGTGTGTGTGTGTGTGTGTGTGTGTGTGTGTGTGTGTGTGTAATGAAAGAGTTAGTGATTACCTAGACTTTTGTTCATTGAAAATTTCATTTCAAAGTTTTGGTGGAGATAGAAAAATACTTCTTTATTAGCCGTAATGTAGGGATGGTACATAATCTTGTCCTCAAAATGTTAACCTTTTAAACATTTTGAAAATGATTATTTTCAGTTTTCATCTGTTTGGTCTGTCTGTCTTTGAAAATGGTTGTAGTCTGGGAATTCACTCTATAATATTGTTTTCAAAAATATCCAGTACTTGAATAACTTTTAAAAAAATCCATACATTATCTGTTCTTAAAAGTACTCGTAGCAATTTCTTTTTACATATAAAATATTTTGGAAATTGCCAACCCTGGTTTCTCACACCTATTACCCTTGCGCTCAAAAAAGAGGATTATTCATTCAAGGACAGCCTACATTATGAAACAAAATTCTTTCAAAAATTAAAATAAATAAAAGAAGGAAATTAGTCAAAGTCAAATTGCAGACTAATATCTTTCAAACTAATGTTTCAAACTAATATTGTTAGTTATTGTAGTTATTTTTATATCTCTTCCTGTCAATTTTTAATATTATGGAAATAAAAAAATAGTGATCACAAGTATTTTTGTTTATGTAATTAACAGGATCAGTAACACCTTGAGGAGTTTCATGATTACACTGTTTTTTTTTTTTTTTTTTTTTTTTTTTTTTTTGGTAGAAAAACTACACAGAATATGAATGACTTTTTGTTTGGTAATTAGTTAGTTTGTTTGTTTGTTTTGAGACAGGGTTTCTCTGTGTAGCCCTGGCTATCTCTGTAGACCAAGATGGCCTTGAACTCATAGAGATTTACCTATCTCTGCTTCCTCAGGGCTGGGATTAAAGGTGTGTGCAACCGCTGGCTGACTAACTTTTTAAATAATTTCTGGCAATGAAATTTGTTATAAATATTAATTTTGGTTCTTTAATTAAAAAATAGAGTATCTAAATTTGAAGGATTGACTTAACTCCTAGAAGTGATATCTTGTAACACATATCCTTCTACTGTATAAAGTGAGTAAAACTCTGAAGCCACCTCTGTTATTAACTTTCTGTGTCACTTTCAGAGTAGTCTGGATCATGGTCTGTCTTACCCACTGGTAACCCAAGATCCCTATAAATGATTCCTGTTCTAGACCTACACAAGCTCGGTCTGTTTGTAATGGGAAATAAGCTTTAAGTGACTCCCACATGTTGTAACACTGCTTTACTTCAGCACCAGAATATGTTGACACATTCCTCAAAGCAGCTGTGCATTCTTCACCTGGAACACAGCGACTTCTTACACTGTCATCTTTCTCACTTTTGTAGAAGACTGCTTCAGTAGCTCACAGGTGTTTGTAAAACAATGTCCTACAGTAAATCATTATTCACTTACCTGTCTCACACAAGGTGATTGTTGGGCTTTCATGATAGTGTTGCATTGGAGAGGCCCATTGTACTTTGTGCATATACTAGGAATAAGGGTAAAAAACTTCTAGCAATTCTAGATAACTAAATTATTGGGATTATTATGTCAAATAATTCATATATTTTATACTGACATACAATTTGTTATGACAACTATTTTTAGTCTAGTTGTACTTTTTTATGTGTGTGCCAATGTACCTTCTCTCTCTCTCTCTGTGTGTGTGTGTGTGTGTGTGTGTGTGTGTGTGTGTGTGTGTGTAGTTACAAGAGTGCAAGCCTAAGATTGTCTTTGGGATCCTCACTCCACTGCTTTCCTTCTTATTCATCGAGGTATACCCTCTCTCACTTGAACCTAGGGCTAGCCTATGTGACTAGTCTGGCTTGCTGGCTAGCCTCAAGCAGCCCTTTTCTTCCTTTCAGAGCACTGGAGTTACAGACAGAATGCCATACAACATAAAACTCACATGTCCAATCCAGATGCTTGCTGTTTCTCTGCCAAACATTTAACTGATGAACAATTGCCTTGGTCCTAGGCTGGTTGTCTAGTGGACTTTTCTGCTTGTACACAATGCATGCACATATAACTCTGAGGAGAATCGTATAAATAATTCTACTTCATAGAAAAATTGAAATGTATGGTCTCATCACTAAAGGTTCTAGCTTTGCTATATAGTTTCAATAAGATACCAATTTTCAGTATATATTTGCTAGGAATTGTGGGCAGGGATTGTGCTCATGAACTATTGCATTGTCATAGCCATTTTTATATTATTTAACATTTTACATATATTGATCTACATGTCACTACTATTAACATCAGAAACCTACATCCTTAGACATAGTGATGCTACTCCCATTTCTCTAATATGAATATTTAATAGCCCAATCTGCACTAATAGGAGTGTATATTTCATGCAAATAATAGATTATTACTCTTCAACTGGCATGTATAAATGTTTGTGGATATTTGAAAGAAGTGCATTGTTGCTGACATTCACATTTTACAGGGAAATGTAAGAAGAAAATGGCCACCATAAATATGAGGTTTAAGGCAGAAATAAATAAAAGACATAAAACTCAAAACTACCATAGTGACATAAAAATGAAATTATTTCAGCAAGCAGAATTGAAAGCAGACACAAACTTTGTGACATAGGTATTCTAAAGTGACTCACATAGCTTTGGGGCACTGTAGGGGCTGGTGCTTAGCTTTAGTTACCCCATCTCCTTCTGTCTTGGGGGAGAAATGTAGTAATATTTCAATAATCTTAACTATGTAAATACCTGCCTTGTAGTGTATTTTGTTGCTCTATGGAGTGTACGCTTAAAGAGAACGGATAATTTCACATCATTTTACATTCTACCCCGATGTTTGTAGCTATACACCCATGTGCCTGCCATTGTACTCTTCCGTAGAAACTCCCAGTAAAAGCCCTGCACTCTCCCCCATCCCTGCCTTCTACTCTTCACTCAGATCTGCTCTAGCTTCCTAGACAAAACCTAAGCATCCTTAGTGAGGATTCTCGGTCCCACATCTCTGATCCCCTGCATCAGGAAGCCATATTATTCAGCCTCTTGAATAAGGCTGAGCTCTCCCCCCACCCTTTTTTTAAAACCTGACCCTACATTTCTAAGCCTTGTCTCCTAAGATCTACTGTTTGACAAATGTGGTCATAACGTATCTTCAAAAGAAAAACCCTGAACGATTTGTATGTCAGCAACAAACTCCTTGTCTATGCAGTGCTTTTCTTTTATGCTGTCTTAGTGTTCCTATTGCTGTGCTGAAACACCATGACCAAAAGCAACAAGTGGAGAAAATGGTTTAGTTTCATTCATAGTTCCATGTAGCAGTTCATCATCAACAGCAACGAAGTCTAAGACTTTGTCCACTGCAGGAACCCTTTCTGAAACCTAAGTACATTTCCTGTTTTACTTTCTTCTGTCATTTTCCACATAGAAAATAAGTTACCACTGAGTCCTCTGTGTCCTAACCCAAGCTTCATGGCATCAGAAACATGTCTTTTTTTTAATTAATTAATTTATTTATTTAATTTTATTTAACAAAGTCCAATTAAATGAAAACAAACATTTATACACAATATTTGGGAATTTGGGCGTCGTTCTTTCCAAACTACTTCCTGCTGGTAAGGGGCGCTGTCTTGGGGGATTCGAAGAAGATGCAGAAATCCTGGCTGTAGTCTGTAGGGCTGTTTTGTCCAGCTGTTTTGAATGTAGGATCAGCTTGTACTCTGTTTCAGGCGGTCTGGCGTGATCAAACCACATTAGTCTGGAAGGAATCCACATCTTTTCATTTTCTGTGGAAACAAAAATAGAAATCCTTTTCCCCAGTAACGTGTTCTTCAAGTTAAATTTTGGAGTCAAAGCATTTTTTTTTTAATTTATTATTTGACATGTCGATCCAAGTTCCCTCTCCCTCCTTCCCTCCCTCCCTCCCTCCCTCCCCTTCCTTCCCTTCCCCTTCCCTCCCTTTTACCCTCTCTGCCCTCTCACGTGCACTCTAAACACCCTCCCCTCCCATAGCCCCACCACAATTCCATATGTAGGGGAATGCCATCCAGTTGGGGTCAAGTAGATGTGACAGGTCTTGTGAAGTAGGGACTAGGGCTTCTCTCCTGTCTCTAGAATAAGGCAGTTATCCCTCCATGGGAGATATGTTTGCAAAGTCCTTTTGTGCACCAGGGATACATCCTGGCTCCACTGTCTGAGGTCTCTCAGACTGCTCAGTCCTTCTGGCTGAGACCCATATTCAGGGGGGCCCGAGGCAGTCCCCTGCTGGCTTCCCAGCTATCAGTCTAGTGGCCCTTAGCTCCTCCTTGTTCAGGTAAGCTGTCTCTATGTGCTTCTGCCGCATGGTCTTGTCCTCTCCATCTGCTTCTGGGTTCTAGTTCGACTCAGAGTTTATGTATGGGTGTTTGCTCCTTTTTTCAACAGGCATTAGTTGAAGGCTCCATGGAGAAGTTAGTTGTTGATCTCACTCTCCAGGAAGGGCATTTATGATAGCCTTTCCACGGAAGCTGAGATTGTTAGTTGGGAGCAGTCTTGTAGTTCTCTCGACCTTTCTTTGTGTTCAACTTTATCTTCAAACCAATATTGGCTCCCTCTTTTATGTTCTCTCTCTCTGTCTCTCTCTCTCTCTCTCTTTCCTATCTTCCATTCCTAACCAGGCTCAATCCTCCTGGTCGCACATGCCTTCCTCTCCTCCCCCTCATTTTCTCCTACTTCTCTCTCCATTCGCGGTCCTCCCCCACTTTACCTGAGCTCTGGGGGACTTGTCCCTTCCCAGTTCTGTCCCAGGGACTTTATATGAAT